TCTCAAAAGTCACCACCAGAGCGCGAAAAAACTCGAGCCGGGGGCGATATTGCTGCTGCTGTAATCCCAGCTAAAGTGGAGTTTGATTGGATGTGCCGATAAACAAGCAAGAAGTGAACATCAGCGCGCAAAACCGAGATTGGATTGGGCAAAGAGAGCGTAATTCTCGCGAGGATTGAAGCGCGCAGGGTGTCTGGCTGCGCTGACGTCACCGGGTCAATTTGCAGAAACTCACAGAGTTCCTCGTCGTTCAGCTCGACGCCCGCGATTGTGGCCAATATTGAAGACTCGTCGTCCGACTGGTTGTGCACCTCGCAGTCGCCCACTTTTGTGATGCGAAATTTTGGCACCGTCGTTGGAACCTTTGAGCGGCGTCGGAGAATCGAGCACCATGGTCGGCATCGTGACGGGAGACGCGAGTCCTCCGACATCTCTTGATGAAAATAAAAATTTGGTTACGCTGTCCCTAAAAATATTTCTCTTCAAATGAGCAGTGCAAAATATTTCATACAGTTTTTAAAAAAGTAGCAAAATCTTAATAATTTTATTTTTCTCTATCTAATGTGTCCCATTGGCTGACAGGAAAGATTTTTTTTCAAAATATTTTTAAACAAGATGTTGCAAGTTAAATTTATAGTTGAATATAAACTAAAAAAAAAATTAAATGTTATTAATCTGCCACTCCATTACTCCCCATTACTCAGTATAATAGAGGTAGGTGAGCCTTAATTGACACATTTTGCCCAGTTTTGTCAATTAAATCGATAGGGCTTTGAATTTCAAAAAATTGACATTTAAATAATACATAATATATTCAATGCAAAATAGAACAATTGAAAAAAAATAGATAAATCTTATATTATATTATAATAATTTAATTACCCTAATTTTTTTTTGCATTTGCATGTATGTCGTGTGTTATTATTAAATTTATGAATTCATATTATCAACAAAGGAACAAGAGTGAAAGGTTCTAATTGTAAGTCTCCTTAATTTTTTCTTGTAATTCATTTTTATAGATTAAGGGGAGACGCGGAATATCAACAGTAACAGTAATTAACCACATCGTGTGGTAGTAAGTGGCGTATCCATTATCAACAGATAACAACAAAAGTGTGTTTGGTAAAATGTAAGTTGATTTTTAGATTCATAATATGCAAATGAAATCGTCATAAAAGCAAATCACTTTAATAAAGGACACACACAGATTTTAAAAAATTAAAAAATACAAAATCGCTCATTTGAAGTAAAAATATTGTGGACAGCGGAAAATTGAGTAATAAAGAAAATCCGTGGACACACCTCGCTGCTGGTCGACGGACGCACTTCCGAAAATCCAAATTGAGGAATCGAGCCGTCGGTCGTAACTCACGCCGAAGACAAACGCACTAAAAAGAGACGAAAGACCAACTGGCGCTGCATTTGGCGAGCAGCTCCAAAAACGCCGGTGGAGGCGAGTGGTGCTCAGCCCGACTGATGGTGATGAGGAGGAGGAGAAGGAGGAACTCGGGCCGGCAAAACAAAGGAAGGAAGTCTTGACACGACGTCGGGCCCACGCCTATGTGCACAATGTGGACGAGATGGTGCCCTCGTCGACTCACGTGTTGCAAATGATGCGAGAACGCAATTACACTGATAAAGACGATGATGATCGGCGCTCGGAGAAGAAAAAAATCGTTTGCTCGGCGGACGGAGGGAGGGCGAAGACATTTGCATACAGAGCGATGATGACTGCGTTTGATTCGTTTGTTCTTGATAGTGCGCGAGGAAAGTATGCAGTGTCTGACAAAGAAACAATAAAACACACGCGCGTCCTTTTTATTTGAATAATGTGCTGGTCGACGATGAGAGAAACATGACTAACCAGTGCACATGCGTCAAGCAGCAATTCGTAAATTTCCCTAATTGCGAAGTTCCTCTCACGCTAAAACAGTAATTCTCTACATTGATAGATATTTTTCTTTTTACAATTTACTCTTTGCATTATTGCGTATCAACAAATTTTTAAGAGTAATAAAAAATGGTATTAAATTAGTATAATGTTTGTTATAAATATTATTTGCAACTGTAAGGTACAGTAAAAACAAATTTTTTTCATATTATAATAATTACAATTACAGATCAAGGCACACTGTGTAGGTTGTTATGCATTGGTAAATCTGATAGTATTACATTATGCAGGAATCTATCTATATTAATTAATATATATTCGAAACTTTTATTGAGCTGTATTATTTAAACGCTGTAAAATAAATTTTTAAAATAAAACTTATTCATAATATTACTTTTAATGATTGCTAAAATTTTAATATATAAAATACAAAATTAAAAATAATGAAAAGTTCTTATAAATTTATAAATATTTGTGTTGATAATGGTTAATTTTTATTTTGTAATTAATAAAATTATTGCGTATTATCTTAATCACAACTGGCTGTAATTACGCCGTCGTGGGAACGGCGACCAGCTCTCTCCCAAGCCATTTTCTGCCATTTCCATTGTTTGCAGTGCAATTTTGATTCAGAAAAACGATACAAAAGCAGAGAGGAAATGGAAATAACGCCAACTCTGTACGCTTTTTACCCGACGGAGATGGAAAACCAACACAAAAAGAGAGAAAAAAGCAGACGAGTATTTCTTTTGCTTTCAACAATATTATACGCGTATGTTGAAGCTACAGTGATTGCGTAAATTTATATATTACAGTTGCCATTGTGTCAATATAACAGAGCGTCGCGTGTAATCTTTTCCTTTCTCCACCACTCCACACACAGATGCTATCATTCCTCATCTCTATGTTTTCAAGTGGCCGTTGTTTAATCTGCGTTATTCGGCGCCGAAATTGTAATTGCTGTCATCGCGCTTGTCAACGGGATTTGGTTGGTTGCACATATTTTTTTCTTTATCAAAAGCAACAAATGTCGCAATCGCCATATTAAAAACTGTCTTGACTCAACCGCTCGAGTGACCCGCAAGGAAACCGCAAGATTATCAGCCGGAGAGTGCCCGGCAAAAAAGCTGCTGATTTCACCAACATTTTCAAAGTTGGTTGCAGAATATCAAGCGAGTTTTTGCGTCTTGATTTTTACTTCCAGCACAAGAAGTTCCGTTAAATGCGAGTGGTTTTCGATCAAGTGAGACAAAAATGAGAGAAATTCGATCTCGGGACCAAAAAACGGTGCTCATGCGAGCTCTAATTTTTGTTTTGGTTGCATTTTTTTCATGTCTATATTATTCTATTCTTTCTTGTCTTGAATTTTACGAAATTTGAATCTGAGCTTCCGAGAAAGGTGTCGAGCGAGTCATTGCCCCATTATTTCCATTTTGAGTCGGGTGACGCCGAATCGACTGCGTGCTAATCGCAAATGAGCCAAATACGGCTCAACCAAAGCCGCTTCCTATTTCGCATCCGAGCACGTTTCAACCCGGACCGCATACAAAAGCAGACTCATAATCAAGCCGCATTGTTCGTCGACGAAAGAGAGGCTGTGATGGGTTTTGAGTTATACGCGCAGCGCTGACAGGACATACACTGCCGGCCACGAAATCCGATTAATTCGCTCTTTCTTCAGGCGCCGCTTTCATCTCTTGCCAATCTATTTTTCATCCTCCTTTTAGTTTGATAGGTTTCATGTCTATTTCGGTCTTGCCATTTTTGGCATCAGAGGATATATTGGCTCTAGAAGGACACAGATTTAGCGATTAGGCGCATTAAGAGATATTTATAGCAAGGCGAATATTAGATAAGGATATGAATAATAAATCTAAATTAATATTTAAATTAAAAAAAGGAAATTCATAAAGGAAAGTAATTTTCATAAAGGTTGATACTAATAAAATCTAACATTGCCAAAATTTATTCTATAAAAATTTTATTTAACAGCTTGTGTAAAGAACTATAATAAGATAATACTAATTTTTAGTAATTGCCGAAAAATCTAAATAAAAACAATAATTATGAAAATTAAATAAATTTTTTAAATTTTTAAGATGTATTTTACACAAACAATAAAAAAATATCATGTTACTGCTGTATCTTTTACTTTCGATAAGTTTAAATTTAGAGCCTCTTGTGATTAAAAAAAATTATATATATCCGGACTGAAAAACTAATGCATATGTTATAAAATTGAAATATTTACTTTCGTGCTAGAAAAATATTTTATTACATTATTCTATTTTCTTTATTTCATTGCAAAACATGTCTCGTAAAACGTAACACACAAATCGCGTATTCTCTGTGCGAAGCAGTGCGCCACTGCGAGTTTCGTCGTAATAGAGGTCGCTTCGAATCAGCACGCAGACTTCTTGTCGGTTGGGTATGCAACCTGCGCCGCAGACGTGTCGAGCAGTTTGCAGAGCCACTTTCCGTCTCGTCGGAGGAAAGTGCTCGCGGCAGCAGAAAAGGTGGCGCAAGATATAAAATTACTCGGCGCGCACATTTTCGCAGGAGCACGCGTGTTTCTCTTTATGTAAGGCGACGGCGAAGAAATTCGAGATGAGAGTCAAGATTCGTCCTCTCGTTTTATCCGCAGTGGAAAATACACACAAAAAAGAAAAAGACACAATCATGTAACAGACTTAACAGAGGCAGCACGTAGGCTGTGCAATCAAGAGGGCAGTGCTTGTCTTTGATCCCGGATCGCGTGCTTTCATTTGCAATGATATTCTATTCAGGAAATTAGAAAATGCACATTGCGCAACTTAAAATTTTTAACCTATCTGACAAAATAAAGCAAATTGTTGTAGAGCAGGGTTTATTTTATTCGAAGCTCATATATGAATGAAGTAGTTTGTATGAAATTAAATTGTTTCTCAATTAGAAAAACCTTAATTAGATTTTTTTTTGTACTTTTCTTATAAACTAGATTAGTTTAAAAAAATAAATTAAAATTTAAAACAGTTCAAAAACATATCCAGGTAATAATTAAATTAAATTCTCACTCCACGAATCTAATCAATCATTTTTTTCTTCCCTGTCAATTTAAAATGGTACTCACCTGCAGGAGATGCGACGTACATGTAGCCCTCTTCCCTGAGCGATGTGCAGTCAGCAACGCTGCTGTCCTCGTCCTCGTCGCCCTCAGGGATGACACCTTCCTCCTCTTCGAGCAGCGGGGGTGGCGGACAAGGGTCGTAACCCCAACGCTGTCTGAACGCCTTCGCGCCGCCGTCGAGTCGCACCCTCGGCAGGTCCACGAACAACGAGTCGCCGATCTGCGGGTCAAAGGGCAAGGGTCAGCTGTGAGTGCTTGGAATTAGCTGGGGGCAGTGAGAAGGCCAAAGAGCATGACACAGGTCAACGAAGCTACAATTAACTGGCACATATGGAAGTTTGACATAATTTTTTAGCAATTCATTTAAACTTAGTTAAAAATAAAACAAAAATTAATCAATTTAAACAAATGTTTTTTCAATTCCTTTTAGTTTTTTAACTTTATTATTTGTTTATTTATAAGTATATATATGAAACTATATCATTTTAATTTAATTTCATTTAGATTTTAGACAACCTTTACATAATGCAATAGAATGAAAATACTATAAAAAAAATAATTTATTTTTTATTATAAACAAAAATAAATAGATGGTTTTGCCATTTACTAATAAATATAATATTATACGTTGATTCAAAAAAATTATTCAGTGGAGTTAGTGTTTTGTCAGTTTGAGGTGAACTAAATTATAATTTAATAAAATTTTAATCTAGAAAAATTCCAGAGAAATCTATGAAAATCCATAACGTAAAAATGAAATATTATCAAGATAAAAAAAAATCACAATGTTTGGACAAAACATCTCATGAGATTCATGCAACGATTTGAATTTCCAACAACATTTACTTCATCCTTCCTAGAAACCAAAAATTAAGAGTAAAGCTAATTGTAAGCGGAAAAATTATCAAATTTATTCATATTTGTTACCCTTCTGGATACAAGTTGAATAAATTTTTCAGTACAAAGGAATTAAACGTAATAATAATAATAATAATAATATTTTGTGAACCAAAATTATTTAAAAATTGTAACTTCTTACACACGTGAATAAAATAAATAAATTGCATGCATTCATAAAATAAAAATAAAACAGAATGAAACGGATTGAAACATAGAAAGTTTTTATGCAGAGGGAAGGAGCAAGCAAGTGCTCCATGGTAAGTGTACATTGGCAATCCGCGCAGTCTGTCTTGTATGATCTCATCGCGCGGCAAGCAAGAAATAAAAGAGTACGAAGGCTTTATGCGAAGCCAGGAGCGACAAACAAACCGCAGGGCAATTTTTAAGGCTTCAGCCGAGACGGTTGGCGCGCGATTCACCAAACTTGCTGGGATTTTTCTTTTCCGAATGGTGCACAGAAGGGTAACTCGAGCCGGCCGGGGCTTGTTTTGCGCGAAAGGCATTCATGCGGAAAACAATCGCAGTCGGTAAAGTTGCTGCTCAAGGACGAGGGATTTATTTTTATTACAATTCCCAGTGCATTACCAGCGTCAAAAGTCACTTTCATATAAAATCCGACCGAGATTTAAATCAGCCGGATAATAAAATAAACATGCAATTGCCTTGAGATTTCCCAAGATTGTTTAAAAATTGTAAAAAAATTATTTGATTGATTGCTTATAAATGGTTAAATAAAGTAAATAGCAATTATATACTTCCTGTTTGATAATAATGACGTAATTGTAAAGATGAGGATGAATGGCTGGCATCAAACATAATTTTTTCCTGCCCACAAACATCACATTTGAATGGAGTCGCGGTATTAATTCAGCACAAATAACGTCTTCGTATAAAAGGCATAAATTTCAATTGCCTGTCGTCATTTGTCTCGCCTCCGTACATAATAAAAACAATTAACCAGCCGTGTATCTAGCGTGATGCAGCACCATTAGTCAAGCAAAGGAGCCAGCAGCGTAGATAAAAAATTATCATATTACAAGAATGGCACATGGGCTCAAAACAATTGTCTGCTGCGAGCGGCTGTAAATTCACGAGGATGTAACTCGCGACGAGATGAAACAATGCAGGAGATGCAAAGGATTAAAAAAACGACGAGATACGCGCGGCTATCTAATCTAGCAGATACATTTATAAGTGTAAGCAAAGACCACACAAAGTGCAAACGCATGCAGTTAATACAACGCCAAAGGCCGTGAAAAATGCAGCCAGAGAAAGACACAAAGAGAGAGAGAAAGAATACCTTGAAATGAGGAAAGCGGGGCCGTGTCGGAGTCCCAGGAAATATCTGTGACAGAACGACAGATCCGCAGTTAATTAGTTGGTTAATTACAAGGGTTTGTGTTGTATTTGGGTGCGGAGATTTTTTTCCACAACCGAATTTGATTAGTCATATAATAATTATTGCAACTATCATTTATCAGGCGGTGTTTTCGTACCTAAAATGTGCAACGTAAGAGTTGTTAGTTTAACATTAACCTTGATTCCATGCGAATTTTCGGGTTTTTTTCCTGATTTATTTTGAGTGCATCACCAAAAATAAGTGTTTTGATCTCATTATTTTTTTTGTTAAGAAATTCCAGAATTGATAATGCATAATTTAAAAAAAATATTCAAGCATTAAAAAGTAGTTAGAAGTTAGAATTTAATTAGTTCTACTTGATGAGAAGTTCCTCAATTCATTTTAAAGTATTTTAATTTATTAATCAGGAGTTAATTAATTAAAATGTTATTGCTAAAAGGTGCCAATTATTAATTAATTAATTTTACAATTCACAAAATAGAAATTCATTAGTCTCGTTTGAGAAGTACCAAGCATAAATTTTAATTTATTTATAATTACACCTTTGGCACATTTCTTACTTGAATTTTTTGCAAGAACCTGCTTTGGCAACTCGCAAAGCAGCAATAAATAATCCACAACCATTGCTTGTGCAAACTCATGTAGCGAGAGTGAGAATAAAAACACAGAAACTAGACGGAGAGAAATGTGGTGCTCGGGCGAGCTGCATTAATTTATTATTAAGGCGGTGATTATAAGTGAGCGCGCAATTCACCAAGAAGAAGTGTAATTAATTAAACCGCCTTGCAATAGCAACTAATTGTAAGATGAGCGGACCTGACGTAACTCTGCAATGTGAAGAATTGTACATAAAACAATAATTGTTGTTGCACACCCATCTTTGTTCCAACGTCCAACAGATGCGGTGGGAATTAAAGCAGAAGAGATTCCGAGTAAAATTGTATAAATTTTTCTGTTGTATCCTTCCTTTTACGGACAAGTTTCAACTTGCAGCATGCTCAAATGCACACTCTGGGTGCTCTCGGTCGATGAACCGTCGGCATGTTGAAACACACGGCGCATTAGAGGTGCTAATTATCAATAAACACGAACCGCTGCAATCAACTAATCGGAAGAGCATCGTCTAATAATTCAAACCGGCCGAGACTGTGTTTAATTGAGTTGATCGATTGAAATTAACTCCTGGTTATGAAACCGGGTGATGCGGTACTTACAGCCATCTCCTCGCTTCTGTACGCCGTAAAGGTCTGCTCATCTTGCAAGAGGACGCAGAAAAAGGGCTCCCAGGATACCAGACTGACACCTCGGTCATTCTTCACGTTTCCCGCTGCCCGATGTCCGATTTGAGGATCTTTATCTGAAACAGAAATAACAAAAGTTGCAATTCATTGTTTAAAAAAAAGTTCTTATCAGGGAACATTTGCTTGAAAAATGATTTTTTTAAATAAATATAAAATAATATTCAGGAATCTTTTAAAATTCAAAATATATTTTTTAGACAGTAAAACTTGTAATTGATAAAAAAAATTCAAACAATTTGCTGCAATATTTCGAAAAGTTCCAAAGTTTTGTTGCAGGAAGGGATAGAAATTTCATTATAAATTTATTTTTTGATGATTAAATTTATTGTTTGAAAATTTATCACATTTGAAACTCCACTGGATAATTTTCTATAATACTTTTTTTTGTTCTGACTCATTGCAGTGACGCGCTTCAATTTCTTACTCAATTATTCTGACAAGAGTTCAGCGTTCATTAAACAAACAGCTTTTTGCATTCAGGGACTCGAGTCACGAACGCATAATATTATGTCTTTCGCCAGCCGAAAAATGAAACTCAAGTCGAGCGGGACCAAATATCGAATTTCGCATTTTTTCCCCGTGCATCCTGTATCCGATTTCGCTCGCGCCAGGCACGATAAGTTCTCAATTAATCTGATACGCGTCGACCGACACGATTAAAACGCGAGACTTACTTGAATTACTCTCTCACTTAAAAAAATAAAATAAAAAAGCGACTTTTGCCTGATTAGCAGTGCGTGAAGGTTGCCATCGCTCGATTTCGGCCTCAAAAATGAACTCGTTGGAGCGTTTGCTGTGACTCACAGAGTTGAAAATAATGAATTCTACTGTGTCGCAAAAGTGAGCGTGGATTTGACTAGGGCCTGTCTCTAACAGTACACATTTTATTTGTCGCTACTCGGACCAAACTAGAGCACGCTTTGAATGCTATTTGCTTATTTCGCGCGTGGCCCACATTGAAAAATGGCTTCGCAGAAAAAAAAGCAGCAGCCGGTGATGCGAGCGCGTGGCTTTTTCTCCAGGGCAAAATTTAGCGAGATGGTCAGCAGATGCGAGCGTATGGTGAAGGTTTGGGCCAAAATAATTGAAGGGAGTGCACATAATGAAATAGAAATGATGGCATAATTTCAAATAATTTGTAATTCACTAGAAGTGGTGGTAAATAATTAAAATGGTCTCTAGATTTAACAAATAATGAAAGTTAACTTCACTTCAGATTATTTTAATACCCAAAATTTAAATAAAAATATTTTGAAAGATTTTTTTAAATATAAAATGTTATTTTGTTGTGAAATTAAGCATTAAAAATAAAAAAAAATGATAAATACAGCAAATAATTACCAAAAACAAAACTTTTAAATAAGTATAAAAAGTTTTATTTTATAAAACTTGTAACTTGTAGAAATTATTATTATTTTAATAATTAAGATTTTTAATTTAGTATGCTAATTTATAGTATATTTTTACACAAATCAAGTCTTTATTTCAATTTGAGCATCATTTTGTATTACAATTATGCTCTTTGTATTTTTATTTATTCATTTTTTTTAATTAGAGGAACAATTTGTTCCTTTGGCGATTGACACACATCATGAGGCCTCACTCAAATAATAGAATGGGAATCTCCTTAGGTCACAACAGCGATTTCCTCCGTAGCAATTTCCGAGCCCAGACAAAAGAAAATTGATCCTCCATGCAAGCAACTGCAACTCTCTCTTATGATCAATTAATTTTTGAATTCGCGGTTTGATCGGCACGCGGTGAGCAAAATGAAGACGTCTCTCTTTGGCTCAGCGGTGCGAGCAAAAGCAATTTGTTCTTCTAGAGAGAGTCCAATTTCGGCATCTGCAGTGTCATTTAATTTCGCGAGTGCTGGCTACGCATCTTTCGAGTGATTCGTCCCTGGCCACCAATTTTCTCGGGTCCATTGTGACGTCACTCGATGGCCTTTTGACCCGTGCGCGCCAACGTCTTCCTTGTCTGCGGAGAGCCCATCTCTCCGTAAGTCACATCACAAGAGCAAAATGCCACCTACCAGTTTGCATCCATCAAATTTTATGCGAGCCGAAAACGAGAGGCAGCTGAAAAGGTTGCGAGCGCGATTTTCGCGGCTTGATAGCGATGGATTTCGTTTTCGTCAGAAGTTTGTTTTTTATTACAAAATTAAATGCGAAAGTCGGATTTTTCATTAGAAATGATGACGATACGCTGAATCTAGTGCCATCCAATGAAAGTAACTAATTCTTTTTAGATTGCGTGCCCTTTTTAAATATATTTTTATTTAACAGAAAGGCACATTTTGCAGTAAGTTGCAAAAATGCTATTTGCGTTTTAATAAAGGCATCAAGGGGAACTTCGCCCCATAAATTATTTCATAGAAAAATTGGAAAAATTAAACTTTATTACATGTAAAAAATCTATGTTCCTTTTATGTATCAATTGTATCATTTTAACTTACAATAAACTCTTAAGATTAAGTTTTACTATACAGTGAATTTACTTAGTTATTACAATGATACAGAACTAGCGCAGCTGAGGAACCAAGAATTATTTTTGGTAACATTGAAATATAATTGGTATCTTCATCGGTGAACTTTTATTAATAAAATTAATTTATTGTATGAAAACAAGGAACAAAAATTTTATTTACTGCGATTAGCAAAAACCGCTTAAATATAAAATTTAATAAATCTGATTTTTATAAAAAAAAAATCTGAATTGTAATTTTAAAATAATACAAAGATATATGAAAAATTCGATAAATAACTCACTAGTAAAATAATTACTTTTATAATTTATTTATTTAATATAGCAATGACTTTTTACAACATTAAAATAAATCCATACGCTTACAGTATTTTGCATCTTGGCAATTTTTCCAGGACCAACACGCACGCAACTCTATTTGCAATGCAAATGACATCACGATTCGGCCAAGTACGCGCTCGTCTCTTCTCTCGGTACATTTTCACATCTCCCAAAAGTGCCCTCTTCTCGAAATTTATGCACCTCAAACATATCACATCTGAGGGAACGAGCGGTCGTGTCAAAGTTTGGCTCAAAACCAGGCCGCATATTTGTTCATGATTTTTATATTGCGCGCCCGGGCTGTGAGAAGCAGAAACCCAATAAATTATTTTGTCCTCCAGTTTGTTGCACGCTCGAAAGTCGGGAATGTTAGTCAACCGGCCGCGATGGCCATAAATATCGTGCCTTGGGAATGAATGATGACGATTTTGCATAATGTTACATGAATATGGGTGCCGCGCGAGAAGTCTTAAAACGGCTTTTTTACTATTAGCCCCGAAGTTATCTACACATTAATAGACAAGCATTTTTATGTCTCATTCACTATTCCACATGAAGCTCTGCGATGGAATGAATTCAAAGAGAAAAAAACAGTTATGTAAACGACACCACCATATCTGTGTGATACTTTAAATTACTTTGAAAAATTTAAATCACCCAAATATTTTTCTAACATAAATTTTGTTATAAATAAGAATTTATGTTTTAAATTTTTTCAAATGCTTTCATTTTATGAAAACAACAAATAAGGGGTTGAAAAAAAAGTATTTTTAAAGCGAAGAGAAACAGCCTCTATTGTAATAATTAGAGTTTTTAAAAACAATATATCATTTCGTGCTCTAGAAATTCATTTACAAGGAATTGAAAACTACAATATAATGAATACCGCAGTTGAACAAAATCAAATGCACTCCACAGTCTGCCTGCAGACAAAGAGACCTCTTGAGACAAGCAGAGAATTGAACGAGTCCGATTTTCCATTATCCTGTGCGGCAGACGATCCTTCTTTAATTCACATGCAGCTGCCCAAAGACAGAAATAACGGGTGTTAGAGAGTAGAGAACCTTAGGCGAGATGAGAGACCACTTTTGAATCTATGTTTACGCGAGGTAATGGCCACGTTCGCTCGTAATTGGAAGCGCGCCTCGATTATTCATTGCGCTCTCTCGGTACTTTATTTCGCATCTCTAGGAGAAAGAAAGAAACACGGTCATCGCCAGAGAGTCGCGGTCTTTTCTCATCACCGCCACTGACCCACTCATCACGTTTATGGTAAATGAATGGATGGAGGCTGGATTTCCTTAAGAATACAGGCGCGCCGCTCTTAATCGAGACTTCTTTAGACATAAATGCTGTAATTTTGTTCATTATAAACACCGATTGATGTGTACAATTTTAATGATACGGCTTGTGAGAAAAAAATAAACACTGACAAAGAAGACAATCATGTGGCTAATTAAGAGCATTATTAAATTGTTCTGGCATTTGGCAATGAAGTTGTTCTTTTTTATCTCTCACAGTAAGAACTACCAACGATCCAAGTTAGAAATTTTATTAGCAATGTTTGCATAAATTTTCATTTTAAAGGCTTATTATGATCGGTTTTTAATTTTTTTCTTAGAAATTAGTATAATATTGAGGAATTAATAATTTTCTTGTTGAATAAAAAAAAATGCAATTATTAATTATTTTTTTGTTTCATTCTCCGTCACTTCTATGGTAGTAAAGCGAAAATAATTTTTTTGGGCTGTTTGATGTATTATGTTCTAAATTAAACCACAAATGCAGTTTTTGCAATAAATAAAAAGTGGAGCGATTCACTCTTTGTGGCTAAACCGCAGTGCATCTTTTTACAGGGAAATTACTCTCCATTTTAATAGAATAACTCTACAAAAATTCACGCTATTGCTTCTCCTTTCATCAAAAACAAGCACTAATATGACATTATTTTCAGCATGTACGTTCAGGTGAACGAACTTATTACTCATGACGAGCAGGCGGATTATACAACAATGATAATTCCATTCTCACTTTGGCAACACGCAAAAGGTGCGTTGCAAAGGATTTGAAAGAGAACTTGACTATTACGGGCAAATCAAGTCGGTTTACAACTCACGCAGCCTTCCTTTGTGCTGATCTGTTGAACGCAGCGGTTCGAGGTAAAAAGTGAAAAGTGTCTATTCAGATATGCGGCTTTTTCACGGTTGGCGAGCGAATTCGGTGCAATTAGTCAAGTTTTGCAGTGCGT